GGTGTGTCAGATAAGATGCAAAAACCAATTGACAGTAACCAGTAATGCTAACCGGTTGGCTGATCTCATAAAATCCCGTAAGACGGTTCTATAGAACCGGTGCGAACCGGATGAATCCCACCACTGCCTCTATCTTCATCATATGTAACGTAACAGTAGAGGCAAATACTGCGTAATGAAAAGTTAACGACATAGAATATAGTAAAACGAATTTATTGATTCATATACACACCATTTAATTAAGTTAGGAAACAATGAAAGCATCTATAACAAATGCAATATGTAAAATATTCAATTATATGTTAACTTAAGTATATATGTTTAATACGAATCTGTTAGTTTTCAAGGCACATTTAGCAACTAAACGCGCCCTCTAGAAACCGCATTTGGCAACTCACCTCGGCGAAACCATTGAAAACCACTACATTACACCGTTTTTCTTTATCAATTTTACCCTTTCATTTTTGGTGTTCCGCGAGGCGGCATAAAAAGCCTTAGTGTTTTGTGGCCGAAAAAGTTTGGGAAACGCTGCTCCACATTGTTCTACTTTTCTGGCTTTTTTCGTCTTAATTTGGCTTTTTTTGACCGCTTGGATCTGGCAACCCTGGTACTCGGGAGTGTAACTTGACACTGTGACTCTGAGTGAGTCTTGCAGATTTTCATCAGTGAGGCGTGAGCTTTTTCTGCACGTACTGCGCTGGACAGTGGATAGTTAGCGTGGTAGATTGTGTGACAAGATGTGAAATATCTCCCCGCTTTGCCGTCGCTACAATCACCTCGCAAATGAGATTTACGCAGGCTGTTTTAACGATGGTAAAAATAAATCCACCTCTCTTTCATCATGAAAATGATAGGTTTTCTTTCGTTTTTCTTTGAAATTATTATTCATAATATTGTTGTTACACAGACCAACGGGCAAGAAAAAACGCGTGTTCGTAGAAAGTGACATATGTGTGATGTCATGATTGGACTAGTATTAAATGCCCCGTCGCATTACTTAGGTTAAATACAAATTAGATTACTTCTTACAATGTTTAATATAGTGATGTAGCTTACTCACGAGCGCCGTTATTAAGTTTGGTTTGTAACAGACCTGCGGGCGACTCATGTGGTCTTCACAGGCGAATTGGTGGGCAACTGACGGGTTGGGCAACTGACGGGTTGGTGACCCTTGCCTTAGATACTAAAAGTTAGACAAGTGTTTGGAAGTCTTAAAACAGCAAGGATGCAAGTATTTATTAAGAAAATGAATAGATCTATGCGTCATATTTTATATATAGTATTTCAACATGCTGAAATGAGAAATTGAGTTTTGCGTCCAATGTGTTGTTTGGTTCGAATTCTGTTTCTCAACTGCTGTCCTCAGCTCACTGTTGGAGAATTCGGTACTGAAAAACAAGTGACTTCATTTATATCTGTCAGAAATGTATTCATATCTGGTGGAAGCAAAAAGTTATTTTATACCTGGTATCCCCGGGTTTGATGTAATTTGCAGTATTTGTCTGCAATTGATTCTTCGTCCACTCAAGTTGTAGAATTGGGGAAAGCATCCGCCACAGCTGCGCATACGACATTGCACGTTGGGGTTGTTGAATTGACTGGCATAGTAGTAGGATATTTGCTGTCCGTATGGGACGCATCTATAATTTGCACAATCCTGCGGATTGCAGTTTCGTACGGGTGGATAGTTACGAGGACATCGGCCTGTATGCATGAAACAAGATTTGATGATTTTCTTGATAAGATTTGATAATTTTTCAAACAATTTTTAAGGCTCTTTAGGAATCTTTTTCTCTAATTTTAGCCCACGTAAAAATCACGTGATTATCAATGCACTATAAACACACATTAGAAGTATTAAATACAATTTGTTTTAAGTTTTGACAGACGCTGTACGTTTATTGTACCGGAGTGAAAATGTTTAAAATTTTACATATTGACTTCTGAAGATTCTTTTTGACCAATACGCACAAAGAAAGGATTTTTGTTTTTACAAAGCTTTGATGTGAACATCAATCAACGCCAGACAAGGTCATACTCAATGCAAGTGTAATCCACAGCCTTAGTTCACTTCTGGTGTGAATATTTCAATTCTTTGAGATTACTGTATATACATTGTTACCAATCTACGAATCGAATGGCATCCGTCTACAAGTAACGCAAATTTGCATAGTTATTTATCGAGGGATGGCTTATCTCGCCCGTTCTTTGTTATCTCGCTGTCCGCCAAAACCGAGGTAAATATTTAAAGTATTGGAATTTATAGTTTATTTGTCGGAGTCATGATCGGATTCAGATGACCGTTACTATTTGTAATTGATTAGTTCGACTAGATCTATAAGCTGTAGAATTATCACCTAAGTCGAAATTCATCACGGCTATGAACAATATAAATAAACAAAGATTGGAAATGACAATTTTTTCCACCAACTCTCATTGGCCTCTCAGTTTGTTTGTCTTAACAGGAAAAATGATGTTTCGAAACGCAGAACAAACTATTTACATTGACTGGTAATTTCTTTTCGAAAGTCGTAGAAGTGAGCTCGGCAACCATTACATGTTGTTCTACATTGTGCATTGAGGTTAACCGGACATGTTGTAACCTGGCATGCGTTCACCAAACAGTTTCTAGGACATGAGTTTCCGCTCAATCCACCAAATAGAATCAGGAAAAGGGCTTCTGTAAATGCAAAAATTTGTTTAAATGGTTTTTGAACTACAAAATTACCATCATAAAACTATTACCTTCGTGAGATTGTTTCAATCACAGCCCCAGCAAAGTTTCTAATTATTAAAAAAAAAGATTAAGTTTTTTTTTAAAACGCGTAACATTTCTACGTCTCCCAACCGGGGAGAAATTATTCCCCAGGGAAGAATATTCTCTAATATTACTAACATTCTTCAGTTTTTATCATTACTTTAATACATATTTATGCACACATCATAAACTACTTAAGTAGAGTTTAGGCTTGCACGTAATTTACAGATTTACGGAATTACGGAATTATTTCAAGTTACGGAAGGGAAGTTACGAATTACGTAAAGTCGTAATTATTGGTCGAGCGATTTCGCGATTGAAACAAGCTTTCTTCAAAGCATTCAATTCCGTCGATTGTAAAAAGTGAAAGTTTAAAAAGTAAAAGAACTTAGAGCTTCGGTATTTGCAGCCGTTTTTCTGACTTTTCTCTCTCTTGCCAATATGTCTCCGTGATAATTAATGTCGCGCTTATCAAACAGCAATATGACGATGGAAGAGAAATTGCGTAATGAACCAACGCAACTTCGTCTTTTCGGCATCGGTAAAGCGATCGAGACGGCAGAGAAACAACAATATGACGGGATTTCCCGCGATCCGGTAAAAATCCTTTGCGGACCGTTGACGGTCGGCGGACCGGCGGGCGGGAACTACTGTTTTAGAATACTGAAATCGAATCCAGAATCCTATTCTGTTTTTATAGTTACCCGTATTTAAATAGTGGGATTTCTCCACCACAATGCATGATTGAAATGTTAAAAAAAAGCTAAATTGTAGCCTAAATGTTGGATGTATAACTATCTTTGTGCAGTATTTAATTGAAAATGTCCTGATCATTGGATTATATTTAAACAAGGCAACGAGATTTAAGAATTTCGACGATCGTTTTTTTGTTTTTAACAGTTCAATATTCTCAATTTAACTACTATCAAATATCAAGTATGAGCCAGTGTGTTTATTCTGTGCGAGAACCATTTTCAATTACAAAACCTTGATGTTCTCTGTTACCTGTTCTGTTACTACATCGTTTTATATCAGTCCGGAATTATCCTTGCTCAATATATTTTCCACAATGCCTCGCAATATTTCGGCCAAATATGATAAACTGTCTTTACCAAATGCGGCAACTTATTTTGATTCTTGAATACCACCGACACTCGACCAAATTTGTGTCAATCTTGGCCGATAGGATCGTCGACTTGAGTTAGAAAAATAAGTTAATTTTTTCGTGAGTGCAAAATAAATGTCACAATATGCATTTTTTTGCGATATAACTTTGTATTTTCGGAAAAGCCATATCATATAAATACGGTATTTAAATTATGCGCAAATAATTAATATTTGATCTAAATTTGTTGCAAATAATGTTACAACATTTAGGCCGCGAAATGATTTAATGTAAAATGAAGCATGGTAATCGGAATAACGTCAATAAGTCGACATCAATAATTATTATAAAATGCTGACTAGGTAGTAAAGTCGAATAATGTTAAAAACGGTGCAAAAACAAGTCTTCGTCGCGAGCAAGCGCAAGGATAATCAAACGAGAGAATACGCTCGTTGTGGCATTGATAAATTGGAAACCCGACATTTTTTTTAATACGATTTAAAAAAAGTCAACTATCGTTTCATAAATATCCGTATACCATTGTCGGTAATGATAAAATTGATCGCATAAAATTGGGATGGTTAATTTGCGAAGGTGATAAAGGAAATCAAAGCTAGCACAAAAGATAAAAATCAGAATAAAATTAATTTGAATTCACTCTTGTCTTAACATCTGTCGCCGGCGTGTAGTACTGCCAGGAATATGAAACCCATACTTGATGTCCCAATCGAAAATGAAGTGGATTCAATTGGTTGGTATGATAGGTTCAAATGTGTGAAAAAATATCGCAATTACGGGGTCATTACGTAATCGATTTGGCCGTAATTACGGAATTCATTTTTGTCAATTACGTGCAAGCCTAGAGAGTTACGTCTTAAACTGTGCCAGAGCGGGTATGCTATTTGCGCATAACTTTAGCTAAGATTGTATTAAAGATTGAACCGATGAAGCAGTTTTTAAGGATAATGGGGGAGGTATAGATAACAATTCAAAGAAAAAGGTTGGGCACCAATGTCCTAATTTAATGAGTTACTCAACAACAAATAATGACGGACGAAAAGTTATAAGTTATGAAAACTAATTCTAAGCTAAAAAAAAGGTTGAAAGGATAGAAAGCATCTGCGATTTTAATTTCACCTTTAGAAATTGATCGTTTAGGCAAATCCCAACAAACAGAAGTTCCACATTTTGTCGGACAACAAATCTTCTTATCATCATTGCAATCAGCATTGACTGCACAGTTTGTTTCAGGACACGAAGAGTGTTTGTGAGCAGCAGGACATTTGGGATCGTATTCTAGATAAAATGAAGAACGACATGTACATTAACATCATATCATGCCAAATTCAAAATACAAAAATGATCGTATGATAGAATATTAAGGTGAATGCTATTAATTGGGTTCTGCTATCCAAGTGTAGTTGAATTCATGCTTGTCTGAGAAAGTTTGACATTGGTCGAGCAAAACATTACACAAATAGATAAGCTTCTGGCAATTTGTAAATACCTCAAAAATATGCCAATTTATGTTTTATTCAGTAAATATCTGACTCGGTATTATCCGGACCACTTGACCCATTATTGTGCTTATGAATTTTTATCGTACTGCCAAACACTTACTTTTGCAAGTAGGTGGTTCTTCTGACCATTCTCCTTTCCAAAGACAAACAACTTTCTTTGCTCCCCATCTTCGCAACCCAGACTTGCAGTAGAAACTGTTACAAATATACTAATTATCTGTGCTCCAAATATTACTCTAGCCGCCATGATTAAACCGTATCAGAGAACGAAAAATAGTTTTGATAATTCGATTTTTATGAAAATCTTACAATTTTTTTTAAATATAACAACAAGGCTACCGACAATGGCCAAAGAAAGCAGAATGTCTTCGTAATTTAACAAGGTAAGTATAGAAGCGCATCATTATCTGAAACTCGACACTGGCATCAGAAACTCTCCCCACGCAGCGATAAAGTTTGACACACCCCTGATTGTGATTTACGACATGCACTCTGAGACTGCAGAATATCATTGGATTTACATATTTATCCCGGCGATTGGAAGTCGATAAGACGACTTAATAATATGGGAAACACGACCTTTCATGGGGTTACCAGTCCATGTCGGGTATGAGATTAGTTTGCCATTTATTTGTTTCAGACGCTTTGACTTGATGATAGAGGAAGCCGTAACCGACCAGCGGTTACGTTAACCCTGGGACGGCAAGAAATTTAGGAATCCTCCCGCACATACCTATCCCCAACAGGTTTCAAACCTGCGAATCAGCGCAGGGTAGACAGAGAGTTATATTATTAGCGTACCTGCAGTAACTTCCATAATTGTTACCATCTGTACAATCGAAAGTTCCTTGATCAGCTGGAAAATCTATCGCCTGGCAAACAACATCTAAAATGTGAAGATAAACATAAACAGAATATCCTAATATGCGGAATTGGGGAACGACGCAAAAATTGTCCGGTATAAATCGCTTTTTATCCAGCCATGAAGCCAGCTTGACTACCTGAAGAGTCAGAGTACATCCACGTTTGATTCCGTTATTATTATTATCGATTTAACAGCAATTTGTCAGGATATATGGCCGATTTTTGCCGTGCCGATTGCGAGAGAAATTTTCGCCACAAAACTATTTGTCGAAAATATTTTTACTTAAATATGTTTACATTCAGCATCTAATTGTAATACGCCCCTATACATTGTTTGAACAATTAATCGCAGATCATACCCCCCACGACAAAGCAAGTGAACTTGAAATGAACAACTAAACCAGTTTGTAACTCACTGGTCATCGTATCGTCTTTGGCCAAATAATGTAAATATTAAAAGTAATAACTAGTTATCTTACCTTCGCAAGTTGGATGGATATCAGACCAAGTTTTGTCGCCCATGCAAGTCCTTGTTTTCGGGCCTTTAATTTTTTTGAGAGATTCACAAACAAACCTTGAAAGCAAAGAGAGATACACAATAATTTTGACATATTTTACTTCAACATTTAGCTTTCCGGCCTTGCTATTCATTGAGCACTTTTACATCCTTCACTAGGCCATATACAAACATCTACTGATTACGTAAGAAGATAGTATTTTAATGATCAGATTCTTTCTGGTGAGACAGGAGAAAACCAAAATATTACACCCTGAGTTAGGTGGTGTGTATTATTTTTTAAATTGTCATTTTCCAACTATTGACGCCAATATAGTTAATACCTCTCTCTAACCCTGGCATGGGCAAAATCCGGCCCGTTGGGTAATTCAATCTGGCCCGCCTGATGCTGTCAAAACCAAACTAAACCCAGATTTTCATGTTTTTGCCCAAAGAAGCTCAAGGAATTTGTTGAGATTACGATTAAATTTAGTATTGGCACGAGGCTTATTATTTACTAGATGGGCAAAACTTTGCCGACTTCTGCTCTAACTACTAGGCCATGGCGCCCTCATGAAATAGTGAAAATCAGTTGGATTTATTTTAATCCTCAGTTGACAGTGATATACAATATACTCACGTGCATTTATCGAGATAACCATTGCCAGTGCAATGCATAAGTCCTGGCTGTCCATCGAAGTTAAGCTCTGGGCATTTAGCGGCTGTTTAAACATAATTAGGAAAACATAATATTTACTTTTCGAGCTAATACTTTTCACAATTGTTCGCCAAAAATCATGCTATGAAGGCATTGGATATTTGAACCAAGGTGGTTTACGCGTTATTAGTCAGTAAAGTAAACATATGGAAAGCATCTTCTGATTATTTCTGTTGGGAAAATTTCTTCTTCGACATTGCGGTTGATAAAAAAATATTGCAGATGTGATTGTCCGTAAAAAGTTGAAAAATGAAAATAAAAAACTTCTATCGACTAAAAATATTCTTTTTACAGACTGTGGCAAGAAACCCAAATTAAGAAGGAAGTTTTTAAACGATAAATATTTGCATAGCAGACATACGTTGACATGCTGGCACTTCTCCATCCCATTCCAAACTATCTTGGCATGTCAACGTAAGGCTTTTGCTCCCATCGCCATAAATGAATCCAGGCTTGCAAGATATGCTGAAAATGTAATACTTTAACATTCTGACAAGAGTTTCAACATGCTTTGTACTGGACAAAAACACACACTAGAAGACCTCTGTTTACGTCAATGTTAACACTACTTGAGGTTAGATGAATGTTGATAATGCTATGTTAGTTTCACTTCTGTGTCCTTTTTATATATAACAAAAACAATCCGAGGCTTTTCCTTATTTGAATATAATGACGGTCGTTATCATAAATCAGTTCAAAATGTTACGAACATTTTATAGTAAAATACCCCAAAAATTAGCCATATCGTAGGAGAAATTTGATGATGATGTTGATAAACTTTTTTGTAATGGAGTCAAAAAGAATAATAAAAAAAATGTTTTTAGCTTTTACGTGCAAGTGCTGGAGAAATCTGTGCAGTCCATCTCTTGAGTCTCCCCATCTATTTCGAGAGGAAGACATTCTAGTTCTGTGAACGAATAAAGAAAATTAGTTTCACATCGTTTGATTTTAAATAAAATTACGTACGCAAAAAACTGCAATTCCGCTCATATTCAATATGATAAAAACATCGGGCACTGATTACAAGTATAGCATGTTGTTACACTAATTTCATTATCGCTTGTTACGGGCAGGAAGTTGAAGGTCAGTACGTTCGCAGATACTATCACTATCACAAGATACTATCAACAAGATAATTATGACTTAGATGCGTTACTGCGTTTGATGCGGTACCATGCATTTACTGTTACGTGCAACTTTGTAAAAAAGATATAATAGGATCGAAAACTACAGAATTAAATTCGTTGCCCCATTCATTACTTATTAAAGGAAGTATAATTGTTGCTATTCAGCCATATCTCATGTTACCGGTGTTATAAATTTTAAAGATTTGAAAAATGATTGGTGGCGTTTTTTAGACCACACCTAGCGCACATGAGCGTAGTTTTGCGCCAACTAAGTTTGCGAGAAAGTTATTCTTTTTCGCAAAGAAACATTTGCCCATATTTTTTCCGCAAAAATATTCTTGTGCAATGCTTTTTTGCAAGTTAAGTGCTTGTTTATAAACCTCAACAGTAATGTATGGTCAGTTAGAAAACAATTCCATCATATTGCTCGTTAATATCGACCTGGCCTTTGACTTTTAATATTCCCTTTGATTAGAAGCAAAAAAGCTCAAATTAAAACTTGCCATTTGTTTCACAAATAACGCCTTTCGCAATTCCTGTACTCCCTGAAAACGTTCTCAAGCCATCAGATAAGAAAGTTGGATAATTGGTAAACTGAATTACCGTTCTGGTACGCGGCGCAGATGCGGAAGACCACGGCTCAGATGCCACCCAAACAGTCGCGTGCAAATTTGAGTTTGATTCGTCGTAGTTCTTCAATAACTGATTCTGTTAAAAGACAGGTCAAACATATTACTTTTTAAACAATCATGTTGAATTGGCACAATTTTAGAAAGATCTGACTTATAAGTGCTAATGGATTTTAGTTAAAAGTGTAAGTTTATTTCGACTCCATAATCAACATAACAGGTGATAAAATAAATGATAAAACAAATGAAAAAAAAAATGATTATAGTATTAAGAGAGCAAACAAAATCTAAAATAAGGTTCAATTAAGTACAAAATTTAAATAAAAATGTGTCGAAACGAAGAAGTGGCACGTGTTTACTCACCTAAATATATTAAATTAAAACACACACATTCACACGAAGATACATCACAGAGTTATAACAAAATAAAAAAAATAAGAGCAACTTCAATAAATTAATTGGGATATAGAAAAAATAAGACGAACATTTTCTGCCACGCCATAATAATAGTTTTTTTAACGGTTTCTCAACTGAATATCGATTTTGTGAACAAAATTGAATAGTAGAGAATATTAATCAATTTATAATTTGGTTTTAATAACATAATAAATTAAATATTTGTTTATACAAGTATATATGAGATTCCATGAACTATTCTGTTTTTCTCTGAAATGTGATAGCGTTTTTTTTTCTTTTTATCCAGTATTTTACTGGTTAAGTGCCTTGTACGAAGAAAAAAAATCTAAAAGCAAACATTGTTGCCATCGAAGATTACACATCTCGTGTTCAAATCCCATGCGCCCCCTTCACACAGGGTGAAATAAATAAGGAAATGCCGAAGCGATTCCGGTCCTTCCAAATATATAGTAGTGTTAGACTCCTAGAGGCACAAGTAAGTAAAATTTTCAAAAATATAATATTAATAATCCTTACATCCGGATCGAACTTCATTCCTAGATGCACAAAGTACCAATTCAACCCTTCTGGAATTAATGACCTGCCATAGACTATAACTGAGTCGAAATGGTTCATATCGTATATATTGGCCGGTGTAGAAGTAAATTCACTGCATTTCTCTTCTGACTGTATTGCGTTTAATGTCTCGAGAATAATCCAAAAGCATTTTTTGTTGCGTATGATTCCGCCGGCCACTCGACAAGGATGCTCAGCTCCTATTATCAAATATGATTATATATAACGTAAAAAATTACGCAATCTTAAATTTATTAGTAATGCCAAAATTATAGTCCAATTACAACTGTAAAAACATAATTGAAAAAAAAACGAATGAAAAATGTCTCCTGAATAAAAGTATTATGAAGATATAAAATATATTAGCTTCCTATATGCAACTGCACATAATATAAATTATAAGTAATTGGTCAATATGAAGTTTATCCTACGATCCTTTAGGTATGAATTCTAAATATTATTTGCCATGTTCATGCTTATCACAGACAATCGGTAAAATATAATACAAGCGATGTGAAATGTGTACTTACTTATGACTGGACATGTGAAAAATCCGAATAACAGAACCAAACAAACGCCCCGGTACTTCATCGTGTGTCGTCCAAAGTGTTGAGGAAGTATAGAAAGCTATTACCACCGCAATGGTAAATATAGTCGGGTTGTTTCCTCAGGGCAGTTTGAGATATCAGTGGCGATATCTCCCTTTATTGCGAGTTAATTAGTAGTTTATCAACTTCACGTCTACTGACTATAATTTGAGTAGCGCTTAGTACAAATATGACGACATCGCATCTTGCGCGAATAATGAAACATCCGCGACTATTGTAAATTTATAAATACAGGGCAATAATGGTACATCTTTGTTAAAGACTGATCAAGCGCTAATTCAAAACCACTAAAATCGGATATATCGTGATATGTATGGAAAAACCTAATCGTTTTATGTTCGCATTGCCTGCGGTGCCAGTAGAGCAAGTCAAACACTTGACCGATAGGCCATTTTACCTCTCCTAAATCTACAGTATCTATACCTACATCTTTCAGATATAATGTCTAATTTATATCTATATTGCTAATATTGAATAATATTGTTAATACCCTGAGTGTTTGTATAATATTCCAAAAGCCTAACTAAGATGATTTGGTCGCATACAGCTTGAATTTGATAGATTCCCTGATGTTTTTTTTCTGAGGGCATCCAGGCTCGCATGACACTACATTAAATTCATAGCTATATATTGGGAACTCATGTTGCTGAACCTTTGTTGATACGCATGCTGATTACAGCTGGCATTTCGATTTGAATTGAATCGAATAGCTTATTATTCGAATGGGTTCACAAGAAAATTCGAAACGCCACCAGATTTTTTTTTTGTCCGACAAGGGTCGAAGTGAATGCCTCAATAATTTTCATTGAAGTCATGTTTTTAAAATATAATTTCGACATACAACTCTTTTCATTCTAGAGAGTTATTGATGAGGCATATTTCTTTGATATGTGTGAACACCCAGCGAACTGTCTGAGTAATGGATTCTATTTTGAGTAATTTCTCTAGGAGCCATTACATTAAACAAATCAAATACAATTACATTATGTTCCAAGTATTCGAGATTCAATTAGATTTAAAATAAAACATATTCAATTTTATTATGGAATCATCCGGTAGGAACTACCGTACTATTTATTTGGAAGGACTGGAATCTTTCTGGTTCGGCTGGTATAGTGTATGTGTATTGTATCTTACGGCTTTGCCTTCCCGATTTATTTCACCCTCTGCAAGGTGGATTGTGTGGGATTTGAACTCGAGATGTGTAAATCCGCGATGCTAAAATGGTTAAGTCTACATACCGTTGTACTGGTATAGTGTATGTGTAGTGTATCTTACAAGGCTGCCATAACGTCCTTATTTCTAAGATTTGTCTTTATTTTGAAGGTTTCGTCTTAGAAAATATTTTTGTCCTCATTTCTAAAAAACGTCCCTATTTTGACATGTGTCCTTATTTTTGTCCTTATTTTATGGGTAGAGGTTCTTATACCAGGCACTTCGATTGGTCAATTCGAATGATTGATTTGCTAGAAATGCTATTTTACAACCTCATTGATTGCTACGCGCATTCATAATTCATTTGGATTCAATTCAATTCGTGCATTTAAATCAGTTTTTACAGAATTTTTCGCTGTACCACAGCCTAGCTGATTGATCTTTGAGACAACATTTGTGTACTAGGTTTCATCCGGAATTCCGCGTATGAAACTCCGAATTGGAGCTTTGCTGGACAGTGATGTAGGGTGATGATGCTTTTAGTAGTTTGTATTTGCGCACCTGTAGAAGAAAGAATACTGGACTATTGTCATTTGGGTTGTTCGTTGCGGCAAAGGCCAGAACCCAAGTTCCCTTTGCGACTTTCGAAGAGCCCCATGATTTGTTCTTGTGGACGAGATGTTGCAGTGGCATCTTCTTCTGTGGCAGAAGTGGAGGAAACGGCGGAGTATTTAATCTTCTTCTTTGTCGTTCGTCTTCTGTTGGGTTCTATCGCTATCGAGGGTCTAAGCGCCGAGGCTCTCACCTATATCGAATAGCTCATAAAAAAAATGCATTACCGGCAATTCTCCATATTTGCTAATTCAAGTAACAAATACCTCAGTTACAAAAAGGAAATACTATCAACAACTATGTAGTACTGCTATGTGTAATTGAACAAACAAGGACAATTTTGTGCGTTAACGAGGCATTGAAAGAAATGAAAACTTGGTTTTCAAATGACCTTAAATATGTTCAGCACACTGACGGGATATAAAAAAAAATTCACAATTTTTAATTTCAATTTCATTTGCAATCAATCAATCTGGGGAGTTAATATTATAAACCTGGATTCACCGTTGATTAAAGTCCGTGTGTAATTTTCACTGAGGGCTACGTCGATCAAATGAATACTAACGTACCTAAATGAGCGATTGTCTGAATATAAGATCCAGAAGTCTCTGACTCTTCTAATACTATACTATTGGAATGTTATTGTCATTATTTTTGTGCTGACAATATATTACAATATTTTTTATAATATTAAAGCGTTAGGATGAACAAAACTCTTTGAATCAGATGGTCGAGAAGCTCAAATTAATTGATGAAGATTCGACTTGGGATTGTATTCTCGGTTTAATGTTTATGGTTTTGAATTATCGCTTGTTCAGCTTTCAACAAAGAACCCACTCACAACAACTAGTAAATGCCATACCATTGCCCTGTATTTATAAATGTACAATTGTCTCATTAAGCGCGCAAAAGGCGATGTCTCCATATTTCTGCTGATTAAAAATTCAAATTCTCAAATTGAATTCACTAGACGTGAAGTTGATAAACTACTAATTAACTTGCCAGAAAGAGAGACATAATCACTGATATCTTAACTAAACTGCCCTGAGGAAACAACTTGACTTTATTTACCATTGCGGTGGTCATAGCTTTCTATATTTCGCCAACACTTCGGACGACACACGATGAAGTACCAGGGCGTTTGTTTGGTCCTGTTGTTCGGTTTTTTCACATATCCAGTCATAAGTAAGTACACATTTCACTTCATACCTAAAGCATCGTAAGATAATTTCATATTATCCAATGACTTATAGTAGTTTATGTAAAGTGGCATATAGGAGGCTAATTTATTTCAAATCTTTATAAAACTTTTATTCGTGGGTAATTTTTCATTCGTTTTATTTTTCAAATATGTTTTTTTAGTTGTAGCTGGGCTAATGTTTTGGCATTACTAATAAATTTAAGATTGTCAATTTTTGTATGGTATTTATGCAAATATATAAAATAAATTTTGATCGTATAGGAGCTGAGCACCCTTGTCAAGTGGCCGGCGGAATCATACGCAACAAAAAATGCTTTTGGATCATTCTTGAGTTATTAAACGCAATACAGTCAGAAGATAAGTGCAGTGAATTTACTTCTACACCGGCAAATATATACGATATGGATCATTTCAATTCAATTCTAGTCTATGGCAGGCCACTCACTCCAGAAGGGGATAGTGGATACCATCTGTATTCAGGAATGAAGTTCGACCCAGAGGTAAGGATAATTATTATTATATTTTTAAAAAGTTTATACGACCTCAACTCGCGCCTCTAGGAGTCTAACACTACTATATATTTACCGGACTATCTACCGGAAGAACCGGAATCGCTTCGGCATTTCCTTATTCATTTCACCCTGTGTGAGGGGAGCGCATGGGGTTTGATCACGAGATGTGTAATCTTTGATGACAACAAAGTTAAGTCTAGCATTTTAACCGCCATCGCGGCAAACTATTTAGTTATTATTATGTATATAAATATATTTCATACTGTTAGGAAACTCGTTATTTTATTATCATTGTTTTGATTTTCGTTAATATAATTAATAATAGTGGAGGTGAACTTAAAAGTTACAGCACAAACGAAACAGCTTGATCCGCCACTTAAACTTGTTCTGAGATGACATGGACGATAACAAACGGAGACATAAAAAATAAGTAAATATCTTGAACATAATTAAATCATGAATTTTAGGGTCGTTGAAGATGTCGTGCTATCGAGAGAATTATCCGGCGCCCGTTGCTCATAGGCTTTATATTGGATGTCCACGTTTCAAATCTAAGATCATTTCGTTTGGAAACTCTAAGCTCGTCTCTACTTTCTTCTATTCAAATACTAAAATATTGGTACTCCCGCAGTATGTGTACCAGGTTAGGATTAGGCCATAAATTAATCCGATTTTTCTTATTTTGGTTCAGCGTTTCCCAACCCGAGTCCGCGGTCTCAAATGAGTCCGCGGAGCGTTCAAATGAGTCCGCAAAGAGCCAGAAATTTACTGCGGGCCGCAAACGTTTTTGCTAAACTTAACTATCGTAATGACGTAATAATTTACATTAAACATAAAAAAAGCAAGTTTATTTACATGGCATTAATCGAGTCAATAATTACTGGTTACTGAGTAGGGTTGGGCATATATTCGAATATTCAACTATTAGAATAGCAATTTACTATTCGAAAATAACACGCGACCCGACAGGTCACTTTTGTGTCGCTTAATCAAATGATTGGATTTCACAACTCACTCGCGGATTTCTGACGAGAACACGAGTCTGTACACGCTTCAATAGATACCTAACTGGTGTTTCTCGCGAGTTCGAACAACGAGGAATAATTTTTTTTACTGGTAGATGTCAATGGTGGCAACCCAAATTTTCTAAATTGAAAAGCGGCAATACAAAATACTAAAAATAAAACGAAGAACACCATAAGTTTTGTTTTATGATTGTCCGCGACCGCTTTTTTAGACATTGCAAATTGCAAATTTTGGGTGCTACCGTAGTATACGTACCAGGACATTTTTTCCTTAGGATTCTTCGCTTTACTGCCTCCACATTGGTACGTACAGTACTGGAGCGCCATAAGTGTTGTAGGAACAGCTCAGATTTGTCGAATTCACAAAAATATGAATTGAAACAAAATAAAATCGGGCACTTCACCACGCATTTTTGTGTCTACGGATTGTCATAGTACTTTCTGAGGAGTAGTATTGCTTTTATTTCCTCAACACAACCGCAGATTAAATTGGTCACAATTAAATTAGTAATAAAGCAAGGCGATAAATATGTATTTTTGAATTACTAATATACTTTAAATATATTTTTATTAAGTACTATATCAAGTTGTACTTTATGGAAATTTATAGCAGATAGTAGGATTTTTCCAACGGCGATAACAAATTCGCAAGATCGCAAAAAATATATATCAAAACTAAATAAAATCGGGCAATATATTCTCACATTATTAAGTTCGCAGATTGCGTGGCATTCTAAAGAAGTAATGCTTTTATCTTGTCGTAAGTAGACGCAACCGCGAGTTACCATGAACACAATTAAATTAAAATAGAAAGGCATTTTAAATTCTCGTCGTTGTCATGGATTGAATATTGTGCGACAGAAAAGACCATTATACACTAAAAAAGTCGGCTCTTTTAACGAAAGCGAAAATCGCGGCGAATTTCCGATTTTGAAATTCGTTAAAATTCTGTTGTGTTCGGTTTTATTGCTTCTCCACAAAGAGTACGGTAGCAATAAACGCACCTTGAGTCCGCAAAGGTTTCCGCCGGTGAGAAAATAGTCCGCGACCAAAGGTTGGGAAACGCTGGTTTAGTTCTATTAGGAGTTCGTGGACTGTCTGTGATAGCCAAGTGAACATAATAACCCTTGCCTATAGGTTTCAGTCCCTTTACACAACTTGGTGCAAAATTGTCGAACAAAATAAGTTACCTCCATATTGGTACACATACTTCCGGAGCGCTAAATTATGTACGTTTTATATATATTTAGGCTTTGTTTGCTTTCTTTATTTAATATTAAGTTTTTATTTATTTGATTTTATCAATTTTTTTTTATCGTCCGTTATGTTGATTATGGAGTCGAAACACACTTATACTAAAATCCATTAGCACTTATAGCCAGATCTTTCTAAAATTGTGCCAATTAACATGATTGTTTAAAAAGTAATATGTTCGACCTGTCTTTTAACAGAATCAATTATTGAAGAATTATGACGAATCAAACTCAAATTTGCCAGCGGAGGTTTGGCGTGAGTTTGAACCATCGACTTTCGGATCTACGCCGCGTACCAGAACAATGATTCAGTTTATGATGAATCCGGCATCCACATATAATGGCTTGGCGACGAGTACAAATTTAGGAATCGCGAGTGGCGTTCTTTGTGAAACAAATGGCAAGTTTTGAATTGAGCTTTATTTTGCTTTTTCCCGATGTGAATATTAAAAGTTGAATAATCAAAGTCAAAAATGCCAATAATGATTTTTCTAAGCTTAGCTATTTCAACTCTGAGTTCCCAGAACGACGCTACTCTCTCACCCTGAGCTTCCATGGTGTCGCACGAATTCGACGCGTTGAAAATTCGTAATATTCGTTATTTTAAATCAATGTAACTTCTAAACCATTATATATTGGGTGGTCTGAAATATCTCATTCGAAAGCTTGTTTAGTCTTTAATTCATAATTGACATCATTTTATACGAGAAGTTTTGATGAGATGTACAAGCGTATTTTTAAGACCATTCACTAATTTTATGTATTTGAGTAAGTTCTGACAATTTATTCATCGATTTTTCATCTAAATTTGCTATATGTCTATGATTTTGAAAAGGATACAAAATTACCTTTCAGGGGATGTGCGGATGTCTTTTCTAGCTTACGTAGACACTATTTTATTGATGAATATGTGTTTTCGATTCCAACGGTTTATAAACAAAATCGCTGAGCGATTTGAGGCCAGGTTAGGCCACGACCCAAAGTCAAATTAGGCATTGACGTTCTTGCGACGTTTTTCGGCGTAGCGCTTTACGTGACCTACCGTAGATTACGCAATCTCGCATTTCGTCGTTCAAAGCTGGAGTTCCGAGTGTGCCATTATCGTCATTATATATTCGAACGAATCTTGATTGAACATGGATAATGATTCATATAAACAAAGACCATGGTATGTACGTTTGATATCTGATTATGGAACGTGACTGAATGGTAAACCAAAGTTTGAACCCTGCGTGCTTATGCGTTCCGCCGGTAACATCAAGGATAATCTTTCACTGCTGAATATCATTAAAATCAAAAACAAGTCCTATCAACGAGAGCGTGGAAGACATGACGGCGTCGCTAAATTACCTGGTTAATATTTCACATTTTCGGCGCAAAAGTATCGAAATATATTGCCGATAAGTTGATAAGAGCTGTAACACCAGTCGCGGCGGCTGGTTTTTAAAATTTGTACGTTTTTACGCAATTAACATGGCACCACAATCTGCTATTCATGAGACCGTATACATTCTATAGTTTTTTGAACAATTGTTGGAACACCTCGTTGGAGCAAGCAAATTTACCACGAGTATATCATCATATTCTGAAATAATAATTTAAAACGCAGAATTTAAACATTTGGCATAGTGTGAACAGACAATATAATACCAGTTTAAAAAATACCCGCTATAAATCTATGATGATGTTACACGCTTGCTGGGGAAAGCGATATGTGTTTTTCGTGAGGAGCTGCTGCCTGGCGACGTAATTGCGTAACGTCGCTGCGTAACGAAGTAATTATGAAACGTCGTTGTTTACGTCAAGTTGACGCAGCGGACGAATTGGATTACATTGTATTGCTTATACAATTATACTGGTGCATCATAGATTCAATCTAATGCTACAATTTGATGGTACAATGGTACAATCTTTAACTTATACAAATGTGTCGATATTGTATTAGGTTAAAACATGAACAAATTGAAGTTTTTGTTATTTTATTCAAAAGATTTTCAAAACAATTTCATCGTTTTGAATTTTGCCAATTTTAGCAGGATAATCGCGACATTTTATTTTCATTTCAGTATTATATTTAGTCTTCAAGATTGTCTTCCGAACAACTTGTCCAAATATATGATCAGGTTCGCGAGATATGAGGTTTCAAAGTTGCATACCTCATATGGGACGCCGAAGACGCTAAAGCGGCTTTTAGGGTCACAAGACGTTCTCAGGAAAGCCGCAAAAGCGGCTTTCAGGGTTCAAAGAGTTAGAAATTAAAACACCAACAACACGAGATAGAGCTGAATAGTAACAATTAGACTTTTTTCAATAAGTAATAAATGAGCAATGAATTTAATTTTGTAATTTTCGCTCTTAATATATATTTTTTACAAAGTGACATACGTGACATTAAGGGCATAATACCGCATCAAACGCAGTAACGTATCTAAGTTATGATTATATTGGTACTCCCGAAGTATTTGTACCAAGATGGCGCACAACCTGAAAATAGTATGTGTACTAGGTTAAGGTTCAGATTGTGCGCCATCTTGGTACGAATACTTGGGAAGCGCCATTATATTGGTATGATTTGCTTGATCGATTGAAAATTGTTTATTATCTGGTTTATCTCGTGTTAGTATCTGCGAACATAATAAATCCTTTAAATTCCTGCCCGTCTACGCCATCGCAATTTTTTAATATTTGATGATAGTGATAATGAAATTGGTGTAACAAAATGAGTTCCTATACTTGTAATCGGTGCCCGATATTTGTATCATTTCGAATATGAGCAGATTTGCTGTTTATTTTGCGTATACGTAGTTTTATTAAAAATCAAACGATGTGGAAATAATTTTTTTATTGGTTTACAGAACTAGAATGTCCTCTACTCGGAATAGATGAGGAGACTCAGGAGATGGATTGCACAGATTTCCCCAACAGTTGCACGTAAAAACTACAAAATAATTTTATTATGGATTCCGTTTAACTTCATTACGTAAAAAATTTATGATGGTAATCGATACGGCTACGATATGGCTAATTTTTAGGTTTTTAAATGTTGTTAACAGTTTCAATTGATGTATGATAATGACCGCCGATATATTAAATAAAGAAAATTATTCACAGTTGTATTTCTGTTATATACAAAGAGGCCATAAAAGTAAAAACTAATATAGCATTATCAACATTCATCTAGCCTGAAGTAGTTTTAGCATTGGGGTAAACAAAGGTTTTCTAGTGTGTGTTTTTGTCCAGTACAAATCATGTGTGAACCAATTTTAAAATATTATTACATTTTCAGTATATCTTGCAAGCCTGGATTCATTTATGGCGATGGGAGCAAAAGCTTTACCTTAATATGCCAAGATAATTTGGAATGGGCTGGACAAGTGCCAGCATGTCAACGTATGTATGCTTTGCAATTTTTTATATTATGCAAGGTTTGGAAACTTTATTCTTAATTTAAGTTTCTAGTTACAGTCTGTGAAAATAACAGATTTAAAATTTTAGTCGACGGAGGTTTTATTTTCAACTAATTATGGGCTCGTATACAATCATATGAACGCAATCGTATACCTCATTTGATGTAACTTTATGTTTTAATTTAATCGTTGACTACGTGGAATAATTAGTAACGTCCACATATATTGTTATTTGTTGGAATTTTTGTTTGTTATTGTCAATAACTCTCCTTTAACCCAAATAAAAGGTGAAGAACCTGTTGCATCTTCAACGATTTTATCACGCACCGAAATCTTATACGCCCACATTTGTTTAAGGTAGCGATTTTGATTTTTAAATCAAGTTTTTATGCGTAAATATTATTAATATTGTCAAATAATGGACATAGGAGAAGAAATTATTCCAACAAAAATAATCAGAAGATGCTTTCCATATATTTACCTTACTGACTAATAACGTGTGTCCGCTTTGGTTCAAATATCTCGTGCCTTTATCGCATGTCTTTTGCGACCAATTGTGAAAAGTTTTAATGTTAGAAAAGCAATCATTCTGTTTTCCTAATTATATTTCAACAGCCGTTCAATGCCCAGAACTCAACTTCGATGGACAACCAGGACTTATGCATTGCACTGGTAATGGTTATCTCGATAAATGCACGTGAGTATATTGTATATCACTGTCAACTGAGGATTGAAATAAACCTCATTGATTTTTACTATTTTATGAGGGCGCGATGGCCTATTGGTTAGAGCAGAAGTTGTACTTCTAGGAAACAATAAGCCTCGTGCCAATACTAAATTTAATCGCAATCTCAACAAATTTCTTGAGCTTCTTTGGGCAAAAACATCAAAATCTGTGTTTAGTTTGGATTTGGTAGCATCAGGCGGGCCAGTTTGAATTACCCAACGGGCCGGATTTTGTCCATGTCGGGATTATAGAGGGAGATTAACTGTATTGGCGTCAATAGTTGAAAAATGTCAATTTCATAAACAATACCCACCGCCTAACATTTTGGTTTTTTCTTGTCTCACCAGAAAGGTTCTGGTCATCAAAATAGTATCTTACTACGTAATCAGTAGATGTTTGTATATGGCGTAGTGAAGGATGTAAAAGTGCTCAATGAATAGCGAGGCCGGAAAGCTAAATGTTGAAGTAAAATATGTCAATATTATTGTGTATTTCTGTTTGCTTTTAAGGTTTGTTTGTGAATCTCTGAAAAAACTTAAAGGCCCAAAAACAAGGACTTGCATGGGCGACAAAAATTGGTCTGATATCCATCCAACTTGTGAAGGTAAGATAACTAGTTTTTACTTTTATTATTAATATTATTTGGCCAAAGGAAATACGATGACCAGTGAGTTACAAACTGGCTTAGTTGTTCATTTTCTTTGCCCTGAGGGGTATGATCTGCGATGAATTGTTTAAACAATGTTATATATAGGGTGTGTTACAATTACGGTAGATGCTGAATGTAAACATTGAAGTAAAGATATTGTTAATAAAACTATTTTGTTGCAAAAATTTCTCTCGCAATTGACAAGGCAAACGATCAAAAATCGGCCATATTTCCCGACAAGTTGGTGTTGAATCCTTCATTACATGAAATACTAACAGAATCAAACGGATTCTGACTCTTCAGATAGTCAAACTGGCTTGATTACTAGATAAAAAGTGATTTATAAAAAACAAATTTTGCGTCTTTTCTCAATTCCGAATAATAGTATTCACTTACTGTTCTTGTTTCCGTTTACATTTAGACGTTGTTTGCCAGGCGATAAATTTCCCAGCTGACCAAGGAAATTTCGATTGTACTGATGAAAACAATTATGGGAGTTACTGCAGGTACGCAAATAATATCATCATACTAAGCGTGAGGAATACTCTTGCCACCGCACTTCTGATTTGCAGGTTCAAACTTAATGGGCGATAATTATGTGCGAGAGGATTGCTGCACTCCTTGCCACCTTAGGGTTCATGTTACCGCCGGTCGACTACGGCTTCCTTCGCCATCAAGTCCATGCGTCTGACACAAATACCTGGCAAATTAATCGCATACCTTACATTGGTAGACGAACATAACATTTTGCTGTCCTGGAAGAGTTTTGAGTTTCTATGTCTAACTTCAAAATTAATTTGCGGAATAAACAAATTATAGATAATTTATACATACAAAAAAATACAGTAAAGTTATGAAAGGAAGAAATGTTTTTGTTATTATTATTTAAATCCTCGAACTAATCCACAAACTCGACCCTACAAGGTGCTAACCGGGACGGCTGCTTCTATGTACGTTTGCTATGAAAATCAGATTTTCAATACCATTTACCAATGATTTTATTTGTCGTTGAATTACAGAGCCACTAGCTAGCGACTAGAGTAATATTAATAGCACAGATAAAAAGTATATTTATAACAGTTTCTACTGCAAATCTGGTTTGCAAAGATGGGGAGCGAAGAAAGTTGTTTGTCTTTGGAAAGGAGAATGGTCGGAAGAACCACCTACATGCAAAAGTAAGTGTCTGGCAGTATGATAAAATATTAAAAAGCAAATAAAAAGTTCAAGTGGTCCGGATAATACCGAGTCAGATAATTACTGAATAAAACTTAAATTGACCAAATTTCCGAGTTGATTCTGGGTGATTCAAGAGTCTATTTGCATATTGACACAAATCTATTTGTGTAATATTTTGTTTGACCATTGACAGACTTTCTCAGTAAAATATAAATTGAACTAAACTTGGATAGCAGAACCCAATAATTAGCATTCAGTCATTTATTCAATCATACGATCATTTTTGTATTTTGAGTTTGGCATGAATGATCCTAATATACATGTCCTTCTTCATTTTATCTAGAATTCGATCCCAAATGTCCTGGTGCTCATAAACACTCTTCATGTCCTGACAGCAACTGTGACGTCAATGCTGATTGCAACGATGATAAGAAGATTTGTTGTCCGACAAAATGTGGAACTTCTGTTTGTTGGGATTTGCCTAAACGATCAATTTCTAAAGGTGAAATTATAATCGCAGATGCTTTCTATCTTTTCAACTTTTTTTTTCAGCTTGGAATTAGTTTTCATAACTTATAACTTACCGTCCGTCGATTTCTTGTTGTTGAGTGGCTCATTGAAATAGAAATTCTTCTCTATTACTCTCTCCCTATGCATAAAAGACTGCTTCATTGGTTGAATCTTTGATACATTATTAGCTAGTGTTATACGCAAATAGCTTTCTCGCTTTGGTACAGTTCAAAACATAACTCAACTTAAACTTTAAGTATTTTATCATGTATGTGTAACTATGTAATAATAAAAACTGAAGAATAATAGTAATACTACAACAAATGCAAAAGAACAAATAAATTCTTCCCTGGGGATTAATTCATCCCCTGTTGGGAGACGTGAAAATGTTAGGCAATTTAAACTAAAAATCTCAATCTTTTTTTAATAACTAGAAACTTTGCTGGGGCTGTGATTGAAACAATCATACGAAGGTCATACTTTCATGCTGGTAATTTTGTAGTTCAAAAACCATTCAAACAAATATTTTGCTTTTACAGAAGCCCTTTTCCTGATTCTATTTGGTGGATTGAGCGGAAACTTATGTCCTAGAAACTGTTTAGTAAAAGCATGCCAGGTTACAACATGTCCAGCAAACCTTAATGCACAATGTAGAACAACATGCAATGGTTGTTTAGCCCGCTTCTACGACTTTCGACAAGAAATTACCAGTCAATGTAAGTATTTTGTTCTGCGTTTCGGAACATCTTTTTTTCTGTTGAAGACAAATGAACTGTGCAAACACAAAGCCAATGAGAGTTGGTGCAAAACAAAATTATTTCTAATCTTTGTTTATTTATATTGTTCATATCAGTGATAATTTTAGACTTAGATGATGAGTTTACAGATTATAGATCTAGTCGAACTAATCAATTACATATAGTAGCTGGACACGACCATGGGCTACATAGCAATACTTACAATCTTTATCTCGATTTGGACGAGTACCACAAGCTAGGTAATAGACTCTTTGTTTGTAAAAAGAAGCCATTCATAAATTGGCAACAATATGTATACAACGAGATAGCGATCAGAGACCGCCGACTTATCGATCTAGCGGCGTGTATCCTTCGCTCTTACTCAATAGCGAGACCGCGTGTCCTATCACTAATTAATTAATACCTCGCTAATTATACAACATAATTCATTCAAAATCAATAGGCTTCTGGTCCGAGATATGATGAGTGCACATGCAAAATTTGGAGAAGATTCAATCTTGCTTTCGTGAAATATCGCGTGTATCTAACAGACAAACAGACAAATACCTATCAACATACTTACCGATCAAGATCGATGAGCAATAATATAAAAGAGTTGAAAGATCTATACCGGATTTGAACTAAGGCTGTGGATTATATACTTGCATAGCGTATGGTCTTGCCTGACGTTATTTGATGTTCACATTAAAGTTTAGTAAAAACAAAAATTATTTCTTTTTGTGTATCGATCACAAAGGATCCGCAGAAGTCAATATGTAAAATTTTAGGCATTTACACTCTGGTACAATAGCAGCACAGCATCTGACTATACTCGAAATCAATTGTAATTAATATTTCTAATGTGAATAAATAGTTTGAAATCGTGCGAGGTCTACTTGCGCAAAAATGTTGAGGAGAATATATATAATGAATCATTCAATATTTTTAGACAATGTATGGTGATTTTTGGCCATTTGTTCAAAACTTTCATTTGAGAAAAGATATATCAAATTTTATTTTATACCTACAGGCCGGTGTCCTCGTAACTATCCACCCGTACCAAACTGCAATCAGCAGGATTGTGCAAATTATAGATGCGTCCCATACGGACAGCAAATATCTTACTACTATGACAGTCAATTCAACAACCCTAACGTGCAATGTCGTATGAGCAGCTGTGGCGGATGCTTTCCCCAATTTTACAACTTGAGTGGACGAAGAATTAATTGCAGACAAATACTGCAAATTACATCAAACCCAGGGATACCAGGTAGAAATAACTTCATAATTCATCTTTGGCTTGCATTGATATCAGATTAAATGGTTTAGAATTTAGATGACCTATGTAACAATATACGAAATCGCTTTTAAAAGTTTAGACTCAATTCATATGTTAATGCTGACATTTTTTTGGTCTGAACTTTTTAGAAATATGTCACTATTTATGTAGAAAATCTTTAAATATATACAATCAGGTTTACATGTTGTGTGAACAAAATTCATCTTTTGCTTCTGACAGGTATAAACTGTGACACTTATTTTTCAGTGCCGAATTCTCCATCAGTGGGCTGAGGACAACAGTTGGAAAACAGAATTTCAACCAAACAACACGTTGGAGGCAAATCTTAATTCATAATCTCAACGTGTTAAAATACCATATATGACATGACTAACAGCCATTCATTCATAATAAAATATATATTTATATTGCAGGAGATAGGAAATTCAATACGAATGTTTATCGTATTGCAAACCATGTCATGTCAATCAGTATATTAGTGATTAAGACAATACTGAAGTAATGTATTCGTAATTCATAAACTGTGAAAATTGTGGTAAAGTGTGTGAATTATATGGAAACCCTAAAAATATCATCAAATTTCAGCCTTTCTCGAAAAATATAAATCAGAAAATGGGAATAATTTTTATTCTGTTAATAATTTTGAGAATAATACAGGGCTTGGCATTCAGTTTCCGAGATAAATATAGCGAAGAGATTATGTATAATTTCGCGGCTCGTGAAGGCTCAAAAGAGAGCGCTCCGGAGGTGTGTACCAGTATGGAGGTAACTAATTCTTTTCGCCTACTTTACATCAAGTTGTGCAAAGAGAATGAAACCTTGTATATTCACCTGGCTAAAGCGGACGGTCCTTGCACTCTTAATAAAACTAACATATAAAAAATCGGTCTAACCCTAACTTGGTACACACACTACGAAAGTACCCGAAAAGTATTGGGTTGCTCGCCTCACATGAACTTTGTAATTTCCTTCCAAATGCAATGCCGTATCAGAGGCCAGAGCAAAGAGATTTTTGTTTAATTAAGAAAATTTATTCAAAGCAAGGTTACGCGCATTGACTCAAAAATATAGAACAATGATCTCTGAGCGAAGTTACAGGAGAAGACTGAAGTTCAGAGAACTACTAATACTTTAAATATTTGGTGTAGAGATACGAATTGTTATTTGTTCAGCAGATGTCGATATTGAATATCAGGTAATTCCCTCTTGCGGTTCTAGACTCTCTCTCGACTCCTAATATGCCTGTTCGGTTGACCCTGAATTGCCATTTTGACCTAAATCGTGTCAGCATTGTATTTAAATTTTAAATATTTGATGAGTTAATCATAGCCCAGTCGTAAATTGATGATATCTTGTCAATTTCTGAGTATTTTAGAATTTGTGATATTTTTATCATTTTCTAATTTCCAACCATTTTTGGGTAATTGCCAAACCACGAGAGATTCCATTTAACTTTTTCTACCATATTTTGTCGGTGCTTCCGTCCGTACTATGTGAACCAATATGGCGAACACCGGAATGTAGTATGCGTACCGGATTAGGGTTAGGCCCTAATTTGATTTCAATTTTCCGTAGTTATATTATATAGTTATATTACGAGTTCGGAGAGTAGCCATGCGACTCCCGTAGTATTCATACCTGGAATTATGGCCTAACCTTAACCTTGTACACATACTACGTTGCGGTGTCCACCATCTTGGTTCACATACTACGGGAGCACCAGTTTGTCTATGTTTGACTATTTTTACAGTGAAGGTTATTACTACGAGCATAAGATTTCATTTTTTTTAATATGTCAGTTGCATTAACTTTTCAAGCAAATTTTGGACAATGTATTCAATTGTTACAAATCTATCATCTTTAGCAGTCTCGCGCAGAAATCTCGTTTTCACCACCAGAGATGGGGCACTCAACTTTGCACATTTCCTTTTTTATTGATGTTAGCCTATGGTATAAATTAAACTGAATGAAAGTATGTTTGGCCTAATAACCAAACTGACTTCCATTCATCATTGCATAGTGCTATTATTCCTCTAATAAGATTTGGGACTTCCTGAAATATGCGCACCAAGATGGCGCACAATCTGAACTCAAGCTGTGAACAAAGTTAAGGTTCAGGTTGTGCGACATCCTGCAGCTCATACTTCAGGGGCACCATTGGCCAAACTTCTTTATCGTTTATCGTGTTAGTTAAGCACCTACTTTCTCGTAAAAGGCAAAAATGGTATTCTCGAAGTATCGCTAATATTCTAGAGAAATTATTCGAGAGAATTTTTTGCGCGCTAAAACAGACGTCTCGTAAAGTGACTTCTACTCTCATTTTACCGAGAATCGGTATTCACGATTAACTCGTTCGTCTGGCGCAAAGCCAAGAGAGGGTCAAACAAATTGAAATTTACTACGAGCTGGAACATGCAATATTAAATATTGAGTCACAACCTAATCGAATAGTGAATGTTTCGTGGCTTACAGCTCGAGTTGAACCTATAATCAAACATCTGTAATGATTGCCACTGTATTGTGAAGCTCATTCGGTTGCACAATCCATTTTCATAATAACAGTCTGGGAATGCAGTAGCGCACCTGCACGGGTTAACTCGTTTGTCCCGCAGAAAATCTCAGAAAAGTAAGGGGTTAGCGGGAACACAATTGATTTCGACTTGCAAGATACAATATTAAATACCGAGCCACGGTTCAGGAACCCACTTTTTTTTTTTTCGTCTACGGATCAGAACGACAAAGTCTGGAATCCAGCCCAAATGCCTTCATACCCAGACTATGTCGACGGAAGTTTTGTGGATCAATTCTCTTTGCCATAGAGATCACCATTTCATATACCACATAAGAGGTAGTCTTCCATTCATCACATCCGCTATAAGTGGGATGGTATTATCTTAGTTGAGTTTTATGCCTTCAACCAGGCAAATTTTTGTACGCGTGATGTTTAGAGGCCGAAATGAATGTCCAGAGTATAGAAATTTGATTTGTGGGGTCCGAATGACTTACAACTCTTCTTGCCAGCTAGTTTGAATTTTAAGGAAGTTGAGAATGAAGAGTCTGATTAAGTTTCTTCAAGGTATCTTTTGTTTGCATAGTCCGAATTGTCGAGATTTGATTCAGGTAAGTCCACAGTTGGTTTAGATTTATTATATTCCATATTTGCTGGTGAAGAGGATGTTTCATCCGGTGTAGTAGAGAAGACGGAAGATCCTGGATGCCTGGATGTTGTGCACCATTACTCTAACATACGGATTGCTTTTGGAAGGAGGGTGATACGGAGTGTTGCCTATCGTCGATGATTGTTTGAGTCTGGACGACTGCATTGTTGGTTTGGGCAGCGGTAGGTTCGGCGGTGTTGATAGAGGGCTTAAAGCGCTTCCCACCTCTTCGCACTCCCGACCAGTTGCTAATTTCTTTCAAGTCAGTTGATTCGGTGGAAGAGGAAAATTCAATTACATCCGAGACTGGATCGATCCTATTGCCATGCCTGTTGATTGTGGTGCCGTGCGAGGTATTTCCAAGAGGAGTCAATTCGGGTTGTAAGTCCATTTGGTCGTTTTTGCTTGGCATATCCGGTTTTGTAGTTGTTTCAGGTTGTACGACATTTTGGTTGTTCTGTAGTCCCGAATTTGGTGAAGGTTGTGGTGCATTTTGTAAATTCAAATTTAGTCCAGGTTGTGGAGCATTTCGTAAATCCAGGTTTGTTGCTGATTCTGAGGCATCTTGGTTACTTGGTTGTTTCGATTGAGGTGGGTTTTCTGGTCGCTGTTTTCGACGTCTTGGGATGGTCCATGTAGATCCAGAAATCGATGGAATCTCTTTCCTTCTGGATGGACAATCTTTTAGAAGATGGCCCAGCTGTTTACAGTAGCGACATACTGGCACACTCTCGCATTCAGTGAAGTTGTGACCAGGCTTTAAACACCTTCCACAGGTTGGCACGTATAATTCCCTGGGTAAGTAGGTTTTGCAACTTCTCCCGTCGATGATCAAGTAGTCTGGCAATCTGTCCTTTTTAAAATTTTCAATAAAGAATGAAGTGTAACCATTATAAATAGCCGTACCTCTGTACCAGTTCCTGGTGGCATTCCGGACTTTTCCGCACTGCAGTCGTTCGATTGTAGACACGGCCTTGCTGTAAGACGTTTCTCCCGGTATCCCCCGAATGGATATTCGGATTGGTGCTTCGGTTGGCAGCGATACCGTAATAGCACCGTCTGAAACTCTTATTTCACCCTTTGTGTCGTGCATAAATTGCTCGCGACAGCTAGAGTTGGGGTCGTCGGTGGCGGCAAAAGTACATATCCACTGACCTTTTCTTCCCTCGAACAGTCCCGTGACGTTGTCGACATAGTTTCGGGACGCTGAGTCGGTCTTGAGGATGCCGAACAGTCGAGGGAAGTCCAGGTCTTCGGTGGTGGTCCTGAACAGAGTGCGAGGTCGTGTAGTCGGTGCAGATGTTTCTTCTCTTGTAGGTGTAGACGTTGTTGAGGCGGCTTCGGCGTAATTCATCTTCTTCTTCGTTTCTTTTCTTTTTGCTTCTTCGCTATCGAGGGCCTAACCCGGTGAAGGGTTGCCCTAATCAAATATATATATATATTTTTTTTCATGCGGATCAGAATTTTTCCAGTTTTGGATCAGTGTCTTAAAGACACGTCATATCCGAATCATATCGGTATATCGCTTCATAAGCATGCTACTGCGTGCAGTAGTCATCTACTTCTGGAGGCTTCGGTATGTGCAGCACATCAACAAGGCATAGACCTCGACCCCAGGCTTCCGTAAATGCTATGCGTAGCACGGCATAACGTCCGCCCAAGGCTTCTGCCCATGCCATGCATGGCACAGCACAACTTCCGCCACCCCGACTTCCGTACATGCAGCGTTTAACGCAGCACGACTTTGGCCGCGAAGCTTCCGATTCGTCACATCCGCTATATGTGAGATGGTATTTCGGACATAAAAACAGATAAAATTGGCAAAGTCTAGCTCGGCAGATATGCTGGTGCTTGTGGTGGGTCAAGGTTTATCTTTGTGTTCGGAACGTTTAATTTGAGATGGCAGGAGATTTTTCCAGGGATCGAAGTTTTATTGATGGATATCCATTTAGGATCTCTTTCCAGTTAGTTGTTATTCCTAGAAACTGGAGGTCATTAAATTTGTATTTCATAGTGGTTAGGAATAGTGCGAATTAATATATCGTTTTCGAAACCGTGATGTCATCCGTGGGGGCCATATATTGATTCTGGATATCTAGTTTTATCTTTGTGCCAATTAATTGTTTTTTCATTATGACAAAACATTTGGTAACAGCTGTTGAATTGGGACCCCTATAGCTACTGTAAAAGATTTCCTCTCTCGTTATATTAAAAGGGGTACTTAATACGCTGTTGAGAAAGTTGGTAATTTCTGCTATGTATTTTTTTGTTGAAAGGCAGTCCAGAAATATATGTTTAGTATTGTCTACGGGGTTTTTGCGAAATTTGCAGCCTAATATTTTCAGGGTTCCATATGCATCGTATATTAGGGACATTCTCCTCATGCGGTCGCCGAATACGTATCCGTCTCGTACAATGCGATATGAGCTAATTCGTTCCGCGTTGGTAAACTTACTTCTGTATTC